TCTTACGACAATGCAACACATGGATAAAAAAAAAACACACACACACACACACAACAAAAATAAATTCTCCAGAAGAGACAGTCCCACTTCATTGTTTATTGCTTGTCTCGTTGATAAAGGACACAGATGTGTCGGAAAGTTCCTATCTTAAAATCTTTTTCATTATGCCTCCTTTCAGTCAAAAGACCTACTAATATAAAATAAATACTATTAGACTTATTGATTTTATTAATATCATTTTGTTGTTTTTTTTTTTTATCTCTACAATTTCATGAACCGGCCTATTAAATCTACATATTATAAGAAGTATATATGCATTATGCATTTTATATATATATATATATATATATATATATATATATATATATATATATATACGATAACTGATAGGATAATACAATAAATCTTACTACCCATAACACACTATTAATCAGCATATGTAAATAGCCGAGCCGAAACACATTACGCATGGCCTGAAGGTTGCATTTAATTATGAAACAGACTGTCGCCATTTGTTGTTGAACTGAGTGCCCACTTCTTATATATATATATATATATATATATATATATATATATATATATATATATATATATATATTACTTCAAACATTATTATACTAGATACTGTATTTGAAATAGAAGCATCATTTCTATTTTCGGTTTAAACTTTTTGTATTACGTCTATCGCCCAGTGTCTTCGAGAAATCTAAGCCCGATAGACATAATATGCAATGTTTGAAATAAAAATAAAAATAAAAATTGACCTCTATTTCAAATTTTAAAATACGTCAATCCACAATAATAATATTTGAAGTAATAAAAAGGCTTTACGAATATATTTATATATTATATAAGTCAAAAAATATTTAACATATTTTCTGTTTATACGTTATTTTAATAGATACGATTTATTTAAGTAAATGCTCTGTTTTTTAATTAAATAGTATTAATTACTATCAACATTCAGGCCCGTAAACGAAATTAATACTGCTTTATTAAAAAAAACAAAAACAAAGCATTTGCTTATCATATTTCGATGTGTGGTCGAGTTGTTAGAATGGTCGCTTTCCGACAATGAAACCCGGGTTCGAATTTGACCGTCGCCGATTTTTCAGGAAGATGACTTCTTGATGTTATCGGCCTGGGAAAGAAATCCCAGTGTGCGATACCGTTGGAAAGTGACTGAAAGTCAAACCATGTGCCTGTACAAAGTTACAAGTCATCTTGACAGAAGGTTCGAGCGTAGGGGTCTTTTTCACACTGTTAATCACGCTGCCTGGCCCGCTCAGCATATTTGCAATATAAACACAGGTGGGCTCTGTTGGGTATTGAACACACACAAATGTACCTGAGCAGGCGTATGCAACAGGGATTGGCTAAACACCATAGCAGACAGGCATACTCGAACACAAGCAGCCAGGTATTATCAGATAAAAACATGATGTATATCATCATCAAATAATATGAATAAAGTCATATTCCATAATGATTTTATGTTTATATTTGAACATCATCATGATTTATATTACATTCCAATTATGAATGACAACGGGACTTATAAAATAAATGCATAAAATGTGTGTGTGTGTGTGTGTGAGAGAGAGAGAGAGAGGGGGGGTGATAATATGAATGCATGCAATAAAAGAATGCGCGCGGGTGGTTGTTGTAGAAGCACTTTCGATGGAAACTCGAATGAGTGAGTGAGTAAGAGAGTTAACTGAATGACGCAGAGGGAGGGAGCAAGATAGAAGAAAATGATGGATAAAAAAAAAATAAAAAAATAATAATAATAAATGTGTCGGGGGAGAGAGATTAGGGAGACCCAGACCTGTTCCACAGTTTGTCTAGCGCGTATTGCCCGCCAATATATCGGTCACATGACGCCGACGCTCGGGTTGAATCGGTGTACGAATATTGATCGGTTGATGAAAAAAGAGGAAAAGAGAATGCTGCTGAGTGATGAGAGGTTTCGGACATTGGAGAATGGGGTTGAAGAAGAAGAAGAAGAAGAAGAAGAAGAAGAAAAGCGGGGAAAGCGTTAACAATGAAGTCCGAAAGAGGAAGGAAAGAAAGAAACAAAAAGCGAGAAATGAAGATAAAATTAAAGTACTGGAAAAGATGAGAAAGAAAGAAAGAAAGAAAGAAAAAAAAAAGAAAAAAAAATAAAGAAAGAAAGAAAGAAAGAGAGAAAGAAAGAAAGGCAACAAAAACTGGAATGTAAGTTAAAAATAAAGTTCAGCAGAGGAAGGAAAGAAAAGTTCGAAAAGTAGTTAAAATGAAGTAAACTAAAAAAAAAGAAAGAAAGGACGCAGCAACAAAAAGCGGGAAAAGTAGATAAAAATGAGTCCAGCTGAAGAACAAAAAGAAAACGAAGAAGACAAAGAAGAAGATGAAGAAGACGAAAACATTTCAAAATAAAACGAGCCAAATAAAAAAAATAAAAGAAAAACTCAGTCGAAAAAAAATGTTTTTAGCGGTTAAGTCGTTGGCGTTTGCAGCATCGTTAACATTGAGATTGTTCCGTGTAAAGATTTATGTTCACGCTACAGATGATGGAGAAGGGTGAGTGAATGGTAGATGATGGGGAAGATTTGGGCTAAGGATATTTGCGGGCTCTGGGTGGTAGGGATTAACAAGAGAAGGATGTAAACAACTTCTATCACGCATCCTTTCTTCTTTTACTCCCATTTCACCCCCAACCACACTCACTAATTTGTTACCACTACCCTCGTCTTCTCTTCCTCCTACTCCTCTTTGTAACACTCTCCACCCGACCATCTTTCATCTTTTAACTTTACATCGTTTCTATTTAAAAGATGTTGCCCCTACCATTCTTTCCTCCTCCTCCTCTTTTTTGTATCCCCCCCCACAACAACTATCTATAGGTTTTCATCTTCTAATTTTTTATGGTTTTTTATTTTATTTAAAAGATGTTGCCCCTACCTTACTTTCCCTCCTCCTCCTCCTCTTTTTTGTACCCCCCCACAACAACTATCTATAGGTTTTCATCTTCTAATTTTTTATTGTTTTTTTTTATTTAAAAGATGTTGCCCCTACCTTACTTTCCCTCCTCCTCCTCCTCCTCCTCTTTTTTGTACCCCCCCCACAACAACTATCTATAGGTTTTCATATTCTAATTTTTTATTGTTTTTTTTTATTTAAAAGATGTTGCCCCACCTTACTTTTCCTAATTTTTGTTGTTTTTATTAAAAGATGTTCCTCCTCCTCCTCCTCATATTCTAATTTTTTATTGTTTTTTTATTTATCTTGCCCCTACCTCCCTCCTCCTCCTCCTCCTCCTCTTTTTTGTACCCCCCCACAACAACTATCTATAGGTTTTCATCTTCTAATTTTTTATTGTTTTTTTTTATTTAAAAGATGTTGCCCCTACCTTACTTTCCCTCCTCCTTTCTTCTTCCTCCCCTATTTTGTAATCCCTCCCAACTATCTATCGGTTTTCATCATCTAACTTTCCATCATTGTTTTTTATTAAAGATGTTGCCCCTGCCTTCCTTTCAGGGTCCTTCTCCTCTTTTTGTACTCCCACTCAAATATCTATCAGTTTTTTATCTAACTTCGTATTGTTTTTATTTAAAAGATGTTTCCCCTATATTCGTTTCCTCCCCTTTTTGGTAACACCCTCCGCATTACTATCTGTCGATTTTGTAACTTTCCATCGTTTTTATTAAATAAAAATGATAGCTGTTGCAACTACCCGCTTTTCTTCATCCTCATTCTTTTTCCTCTCTCAGCTTCCACTTCCTTTTTTCCTCTTTGTAACATCCTTCACTCAACTGGTTTGTTTTTTTTTTTTCGTTTTTCATCTTATAATTTTCTATCTTTATTTTTTTTTTAAGACGTTACCCCTACCCACGTCTCTTCTTCATCCACTTCTTTGCAACATTCTATACACGACTTTCATCTTCTTACGCTACGATTCTTATTCAAAATATGTTGGCCGACCTTCGTCTCCTCCTCTCCTCCTCTTCTTCATTTTAACACTCTCAACTCAACCATCGTTCGTTTTCTTTGTGTCGTTTTTAGTGAAAAGATTATATCTGAAAAATAAATAAAGCAAATAACGTTGAAATACATCAAATCGGTTAAACCAGACCAAAGCGAAATATAAGTAGCCAAGTCCAGGATTACGAAATAGGATGAAAGAGAGTAAAGACAGAAAGTGAAAATCTGCTGAGAGAAAATAGAAAGTAGGAGGTGCGGGGGAGAAAGAAAGAAAGAAAGAAAGAAAGAAAGAAAGAAAGAAAGAAAGAAAGAAAGATTAAAAAATGAGATAAGCAATTAGGAAGTAAACGGAGGAAAATATGATCTACATAAGATCGGAAGTAAAAGACAATTAAAGAAAGCGAAAATGTAAAAATGAAGGATGAAGAAAAGAGAGAAAGGAATGAAAGACAAATATTAAATATGGAGGAACTTGAAAAAATGAGAAAAGAAAAACAACAAAGAGGTGAAAATGAAGGATCAAAGATGTAATTCATTTAAAAACAAGGGAAAAAAAGAAAGAATGAATGACGAGGCAAGAAGAAGAAAAAGAAGAAAAAGAAGAAGAAGAAGAGGAGGAGGAGGAGGAGTAAGAATAAGAAGCGAAAGGGGAGCAAGTAAAAAACTACAACGGCAAGAAGAAGTAGAAAAAGAAGTAGAAAAAGCAGAGAAATAAAAAGAACTACAACGACAAGAAGAAGAAAAAGAAGAAGAAGAAGAAGACGTAGAGGAGGAGGAGCAGCAGCAACAACAATAATAATAACAACTATGGGGATTTAATACATTTAATTTCACAAAGAAAGAAAAACAGTTGGAACTGAGGATTAGAATAATAAATAGTAATCTGAAAGAACGAAAATAAAACGATAAAAAACTTTATACAAATGCGTAGAAAATAAAAAGTATAGATGCACAAGATCAAGAAAAAATGAATGCAATTTAAAAAGTAAGAATAAAATTTAAAAAGACAATCATTGTTACTGTATTTCTATTTCAATACAAATCAATAAAAACTGTGTTTAATGCATGAAACAATTCATGTCGCCCGCGAGAAGTGATTGGTTACCATTGTCCCCAAAGACATTAGTCTATATGACCAATGGCTGTTCTCATATGATTCAGTGAATCTTGTTAGTTTCCGCTTCAAATTACTCAGTGTTCCGGCGTTTCTTGTTGCTTCCTTCTTTCTTATAAATGTTTCTCCGGGAAAAATACCATCTGTTAAGATTTGGCAGAACAAAGTGGCTCATCAACGTCACTAAGAAATAGGAATCATTCTCTCTGTTACCATTCTGATGATTCTACCTATGGTAGTGCTATATTCTAAAAAAAAAAAAAAAACTTCGCTACAAAAAAACTTAAGACGTTATAATGACTGTTTCTTTGTCTAAGATAGATTCACTTGGAGTGGCCATTTTTATTTTAATTTAATTTAAGCAATGGCGATTATCATTGTTCTAGAATATAGCTCCCAGATATGTGTCGTCTGGTTTCTCCGAATGGAGAAAATGCTAAACAAATTATAGATTTTTCAGGGTATAGGATTTATACCAATAGCAATCGAAGACTGACATAAAATTCCCTTTATGCATTGTACCACCATATATTGGGGTTGTGAAAAACTTCTCGGCTCCACCTTTTGCAAAATGTTATAGAAACGTTATACGTTTGTATAAAATTCATGCAAGTATTTTACTGCTTGCGCAATGAGTCAATAGGGATACGTATTTTCCAAGAGTTTGAAAACTTCCTAAAGCTGGGAAAAATGTTTCCCCCGATCAACGTTGGTCAGCATTTATTTTTTCTTGTTCAGTTAGTAGGAAAATAAAAACTCATTTTCAGATTATCCTTACGGGAGAGGATAAAATGGAAGAATCGCAGTGAAGAAAAAGATCCGGTTTTGATCCAGGAGAGTCTTCAGCATTTAAATCTGAACGGTTTCTACTTGTAAAAAAAAGTTTCTTGCATGCGTTCAAGAGAAGTAAATTTTGACAAGTCTGTTTGTAGTTTATACCCGTATATCATTTTGAACTCATTTCAGAAACTTAAAAAAAAGTGTCCCGCATTAGACTGCATTGGTCAGAATTTCAAAATGTGTCTTTCAGCTTCTTCTTCTTCTTCATCAGAGAAAACGTAACTCTTGGACAAGATAGTCACTTGCAATGACAAATTGATTTTGTTGCCCAAATTTAAAATTAAGAAAATGGTGGCTTTCATCCGGGACACTATTCAATATCTAATCCTAAACTACCGGGAAGAAACCTTCCCTGCTGTTTGGAATTCATAAAGAATTCTCCATTATGAATTGCCAGGAACTGAACTGTCACCGGAAGATTATACAGCAAACAGATTGTTTATTTGAGGCATAGAACATAAAATATATCTTCTGGTTAAGGAGGTCGACCAGTATATTTTTTAGCATGACAACATCTGTCCTTTGCAAAGCAGCAAATGGTGATGAAGCTGGAATAGGTGCGTGTCTCACCCTGAGAAAACCACTTGTTACTTTCGTTGTAACAATTCTTGTCTGGCTGCCGAGTGAATAACTGCAAACTCAAGTTATAAAACTGACCAATATCTACATATAGATTCAAGTATAAAAATGGCCAATGTTTACTTATAGCCTCAAGTATAAACCCGGCTAATGTTTACCCATAAAGTCAAATACAAACCCTATAGAGCCAAGTATAAAATCGACTAATGTCGACCTTTATTCTTAAGTATAATCCAGGACAATGTTTATCCATGAGATCAAGAATAAAACCAACCAATATTTACCAATAGACTCAAGTACAAATCACACCAATTTTTATCAACAGACTCAAGTATGAGACCGACTAATGTTTACCTATAGACGTAAGTATAAAACCAATCAATGTTTACTCATAGACTCAAGTCGGCAAACGTTTATCTACAGACAAGGTAAGGTATCCAACTAAAGTTTGCTTATAGATTCAATTTTAAACCCGACTAAAAGTCAAGTATAATCCTGACCAAAGTCCCACTACCTGAAAAATGACTACCTACATTCTCAAGTATAAACGCGACCAATGTTGACCTATAGAGTCAGATATAAACCCAACCAATTTTTACCTATAGGCTCAACTACAAATCTGATAAAAGCGTAACTATAGATTCAAATATAAACCCGACCAATGTTTACCTATATACCCGCGTATAATAAAAAAGGAATTTTAAAATGAAAAATATATAGCCTATATATCGTGACAACCACCAACCCAATAAATAACCACTAGATATACATGTAAATGCATGAGCAAAACAGATTTGTGCATTGAGATTCTAAGTTTCGTATATTGAAAATCATTATGTTCAGACATTGGCTAAAAAAAGACTGATATCATAATGTGGTTTTTTGGATCTCATTTCTTAACGTAATAAACATTAGCAGACGAGTGTTTGAATATTGCTGATAACATAATCAATATTGTCTTTCATTTGTTTAATCTCTCTTCTGTCTAATATTTTTTGTGTTGT